TGGAGTTTGCGGCGTTGTGGCTTGATTGTTACTCTGATTATTCTGTTGAACCATCGCAGCCTGTTGCTGTCTGTTGCAGTTGCAATTGTTGGTGCTGCATCTGTTGCATTTGTTGTTGCATCGCAATTGTCTGCTGTTGTTGCTGTTGTTGCGCCAAGACTTGTTGAGAGTTTGGCATTCCCATGGTATTAGATCCAACATTACCGACACCTACTCCCACTCCCATGCCAAATTGTTGAGAGTTTACCATGTCTAAAATAAAAGTTTTTGTTTGATTCCTAGATTTTCGGCTTTGTTTTATTCTTAGAATTTTATCCTTCTATTTTATAGGTATTTTTAAAGCATATTAATCACAATTATTGACTTATACAATCACAAGTCATCCTAAACACAAGTCGCAAGTTATCCTAATAAATTAAATAAATGTTATTGTTCACTAACTGTTAATTAACTGAAAATGAGCTATAGAAAAATATTCCCAAATACTTACTTCCTTGCTGTGGCCCCATTAAACCAGAAACCATTTGTCCGCCACCAAACTGTGTACGCATAGCAGTTTGTTGTACGTTAGGAAACCCAGATAAGAAGGGATGTTGTTGACCAGCCATATTGTTTTATTATAAAATAACAGTCGATTAATATATTCTCTGAAAACAAAAATTAACTATTATAAGTTCACATTCAGGAGGTTATATCACACTTAACTTCATCACGCGTAACTTTAATTAGTAGATAATGTATCTCTTGTTAAAAGAAATTTGTAACTTAATTTTTCGCTATTCTATGTTATAAACTATTTCGCACAAAGAAAGGAGAAAGCTTTTTATATTATATTACTGACTATAGATATCATGGTTTCTCACATTAAAATTGTTCCCAATAAAATTATAGTATTATTTGATTTGAACTATTTGTTATTATGCATCATCATCATATATATTAATAAAAATATATCACATTATTTACACAAAGAATTATGAAAATTTATCTTCTTTGGTACACGTGTAATACACCAAGTCATGAACAAGCACGCTCTTTACATATTGTCACTTTTCGTCTCCTAACGTCGTACGAGCGAAACTGCTGATGGAATCGTGTACTGTGCAGGCAATGTAGATTTTCTTTTTATTATACTTTTTAAATCTGTATTTTTTTTTTTGAATAGAATGATATCTTAAACAATAAAATATTCAATAATTATAAATAATCCTATATTTATAAATATAATATATTGTACAGAATTATGTACTGTTAATAAAGTTACATTCATATACCGGTATGCATTGTAATCTATTTTTATATTAATCTTTCATACTTGTATATGAATCTATAAAGCATCAAGTATTTGTTAAACAATTTAATATTATTAAAAAGACTTTTTATTTCAGCATCTGATTCATTTTGCATGCTTGTAAATTTGTTATTATCTAATGAGATTATTTCGGCTGCTTGCTAGTGAAACAGTTTTATATTTATTAAAAATTAAAATTAAATTTACAGGAATTTTATATTAGGTTGATGCAAAAATAATTGCGGTTTTTAATCATCGAGTTAATAACAAAAACCGCAATTATTTTTGCATCAACCTGTTACATAACATATATATTATAAAATATTTTATACGTATATATATATATAATACAATACTTTGTCTGCTAATACCTTTTGAATTTATTTGTAACTTTTGTTAAATTATCAATCTATTTAATTTTTTTATAAAGGATAAATTTACAGCTGAGTGATATGTATATTTAATGTTTTTTTATTTAATTTTTTGACACAATAAATTTAAAATTGATTTCTTGATGATGCTTTTATATATATTTGGAGAAACACAAAACTTGAAATCGTGGGTACGCAAGCGCGGAGAAAATAAGGTCAATGTACAGAGGACTAATTTGTCACTTCCTGGTTCGTCGGTGTTCAGGAGTTTTATTTTTTCCGTTACAGTCAGTGTCTCCTGGTTTGTCCTGTGACGCAGTCGCAAACGTGCGTACTAAACCGCGCCAGTTTCTAAAGAAACCTAAATTGTCACACACGAAACAGAGCTAATTCGAAGAAAATTTCATCAGTGTCGTGGAACAACAATGTCAATACACTGGTTAACAATTTTCTTCTTGCTGGCGAAGATTATTTCAACAAATAGTGATAAATTTGCGGCAAGATATTCCAGTGCGGAAGACGGACAGTGGATGAATAACAGCACGCATAATATCAATCTTTTAAATGGATCTCACCGATCATCTAAAGCCGCAGGAATTTCTCTCTCAAAAGGAATCCAAAAAATTCCAACTAACTTGAGTCATCAGAAGACCATAAATCAACGATCTAACACGAGTGAAGGAATGTCGTTTGAAAAAAATAATTATGAAAAGTTGATTGCTAATTTGTCGAAATTAGCTAAGGTTCAATCGGCTGAAAAGGATTTTCCTACCACTGGACGAGTTCAAGTGCAGAATACTAAAGAACCGACACTCTTTCGCACCTCGCTATCTTCAAAATTACATTCCAACTACAGTACACCAAACACTAACATCAAGCAAAGAACTGTTCGCTGTTATGCCATACCAAAAACCGCTTACGCGCCGGAAATAAGTGAGTTTATTTCTGCGTATGCCTGCAAATTGGGAAACAAAATATTTATTCTCTCAAGTAAAAGATTTTTGGAGGAACGTAGAAATAGTGTATTAATTAACATCGACGATGAGACGCTTGATAAGATAAACAGTCCAGCCACTGATACCGAGAGCAGCAAGTTAAGAATTATTCCATCCACCTTGGTTTTACAAGTGCCCGGATTGAACTATTATATACGTGATCAAAAAGATGTCATTTCGCGTGAAGAACACAATAAAATACAGAAAAGTAGTACTAAAGACATTAAATGAGCAACTTGGAGCGCTTATCTTTTATAGTACGCTATTAAATCACTGGTAACAGAATTAATTATTAATTACTATGCAAAACAACATACATATAAAACGTTTAAAACAAAATCGTTAAATAAATTTTGTAACACAAATAAAATTATGTTTTTCTTTTCGTCATTTCTGAAAGATGCTATATTTGCCTTTATACAATTGTTGTCTTGTTATAATTTTTAAATTTGTAGATCCACGATTCTATTATAGAATATTTTTATTTACGGTCAATGCAATAAAGATGTAATATACATATATTTTTATTCACTATTGTGAATAATTACGGCAAAGTTTTATTAAAAACATTCAACTTTACACGATGAGGTTCTATTATTAACATTATTATTAACATTAACATGATTCATAGTGCGTAAATTTTACAAGCTCGAAAGCGATAACAGCCACCAGGAAAACTGTAATTTCCACTATGCGATAAAATATTCTTCACGAGCATCAGTAGATTATTTTATCATAAATAACACAACCTAAAAAATCATAGAAATGCTCTTTATCACATAACTAACTTTTACTTTAGAGCTTACGGATAAAATATTTCTAATCAGTTACATCTTTTTCTGACTACAAATTTCTTGACGAATTTAGATATTTTTATGGCAACTACGGTTTAATTATAGCGCGACTACACTAAAATAACTGTTAAACTTAATTGCTATTTATTCGACGAAAATGACGACGTTGCGACAAATCTTTTTTCACAAATCTTTTGCCGAGCAAAATTTGACTCTAAATTCTTCGAAGAATTTGTGACTGAAAAAGATCGCGGGCGATCTGGTACACTTGATATTACTACAAATAAATTATAAAAGCATTCTTGAGCAACTAATCTGTCGCAATTTCGTCGTTTGGCTTTGTAGAATCGTTCATTTTATTATGTTCAGCAGTTTTGCTTTCGTCTGGTAGATCGATGGGCGATAACTTATCTACGTTCGACAAAATTGACGTTGGGCGTTGTACTTTGATAGGTGATCCATTTTTACCAACCTCAGATAAACCAGCATCGTCGTATTCTAAGGGTTGCGAAAGATCTATGACTTGAGGAGTTTCTGACTGGTCTGCCTGCTTATTTGGCAATAATTTCCCTTTATCGACTTCAGGTATCGCATCCTCATCGATTTTGCTTTCGTCTATAAAATCGATAGGTAGCAATTTATCCACATTCGACAAAACGTTGTCTGGACGTTGCTCTTTAATAGGCGGTTCACTTTCATCAGTTTCAGCAATATTGTGATCATTCGAGGATTTCGAAAAGTCTGCGACTTTAGAAATTCCAGGCAAATCTATCAAGGGTTCGTTGAACGGATTCTGCCCTTTTATTGGCGCGAAGAAATTGTGCGCATTTTGTCGATTATGTGGTCTTTCCAGATGTGGCGATCTAGAATGAGGCCCGTAGAGTTCATTTGGCTTGGTCTCCTCTCTTTCAACTTCAATCGCCAGTTTTTCCAACTCTTCCTTTTCCGCATCGGAAAGTAAGCTAACCTGTGAAATATTTTAAATTCGTAAATATTTAATGTATTATATAAAAATAATATATATGGTTTTTTAGAACAATGTGCAAGTAATTCAAACGTCTTATCTCTCTAGAATTTCTCTAATTTTATTTTCTGTAATTTATTTAAGGCTCTGTGTGTTGCGTGTTAAATGAAGTGGTCAATGTTAAATGAAGATCAATTCAATCAAAATGCGTGTTTAATGTTGAAAAATAAATCAAAGATGTTTTGTTCATTTTACACTTCAACGCAAACCGGCTTATAAAGCTCAATCACGCGTAGATAAGATCTTTAAATACGTCAACACGTGTTGATGAAGCGACAAATGATGTAAAGATGACTCAGGCAGATTTCTCTTAGATTACACGCAGATGTCAAGGCGAGAGATAGATGTGCAGAATTTGAAAATGTATTCAAATTGATAATTCCTTTTCTCGGAATTGATTCTCTTGTTTGCCGCAAGTGTACACAATTTACATGAAGCAATCTTTATTTTTAATTGTAAAAGTATTACGAGGTAATAAATGTATATTGACTCATCAATGAGATTCTATCCGCATGCTATGTAAAAAAACGTTATTAGCATATTATTTTAAAATTCTTGAAGCAATACAAATTATTTGTATCTTTGTTCGCAGTTATTTTACAACTTTTTTTCGGAAAATATATTATTGATTACAATTATACCTTTCTTGGGGGCGGTTTCTTCATTCTAGATCTTCCTCGAAAACGTCTGCGCGGCCTGGTATCATTGTCATCAGGTAATTCGTAGATATTTAGAAGCTTTGGCTTGTTAGAATCAGCGCTGCTAACAGTGGCGAATGAGGGTTCCGCTTCTCTAACGTGCAGCGGATATGCATGCTTCTTGCTTGACTCTTCCAAAAACACGTTTATGTCGTCATCTTTGAAATTGTCAGACTCGTGAGCAAGCGTGTGATCTATTTTCTGCAAACTCTGTTATGCAAAATTAACGTTTGTAAATTCTACTTTATAGTGATATTTATCGTTTATTTGAAATAAATCAATATATTTCTCTCGTTACAATAGCTTGTTATTTGTCACGTAAACGCATAATTATTGATTATTAATTAGTACCTTAACTGAATTCTCTCCGAAAGCTTCGGCCAAGTCGGGATTTATTTGGTCTAATGGTTCATCTCCGTATCTTATATAAACGGGAATGTATCCCGGGATGCTGGGTAGATATTGAAGAGGACTCGAATCTAGAATAAATCGAGCATGCTAGTTGAAAGGCAGTGAGAAACGTCGTATGCGTAACGCGGATGATTGCGTTGGAAATACGCACTTGGCAAGGCGAGCTGATTGGCTATGATAGCAACGCGGATATTTAATCGCGCGCGTAGGGATTAGCTAGACGAAGCGTGGATTAACTAGACTAAGCGCTCAGTTGGAGCTCACCATATGTAATCGCAAAAAAAAAAAAATAACCGCTGATTCGACTGATAAATTTTTATATTTTTTTAAATGAATGGTGTAACTTCTAAAATGTGGCCATTATCGCTCGTAAATTTGCATTTATTTTTATAGTAATTTATAGTGAGTATTTTTCTTACATAAAGATTTTTAAAATAGTTCGAGTTTAATTCATGATAATATATTCTTATTAATTAATAAAAAAAATTTCAGAACTCTACTTCTTCTTGATTATAAATTTTTAAAAATATTTCGACAACCACATTCTAAATTTAAATTTAAATTCATCTATTTCTGCAAGACTTGATTTTGTTTTCAAAATTTATTATGCGCGATGTCTCTCGGCAGCGGGAATCTTCGAAGTAACGCACTAAATAATCCCAATTTCTGATCACTGCACACACTGGTCCCTGACGACGCGATCAATCAATTATGTCACACACATCGATGTCCGGAAGCTTGGGACGAAGTTTTTACTCACAGGCGTAGCCAATAAGAGGAGGTACCACGAGTACCAGAAGGGAGATGACCCTGGTACCACGCAGCATCCCGGCGGTTTGCATCTTTGAACGGTACTGGGCCCCCGGAGCACGGGGCTCTCTCCTTTATATGTACGATCCCCTACCCTCCAGCTAGTGCTACGAAGAGGCCCCTCGGGGTTAGCACCGATTCGGAACGCCGTTCCGTTAATATCGGAGCAAAAAGTTCGAGAGCTCTCCTTTACTTTCGGCAATCGAGCCGAACGAGCGCATTTCTTCCCATCGTGTATCGATAATGATGATAGGTATCGCGCTCGATCGATCGTTGTGTTTTACAGGCATGAGCCTTGCAACGTTATTTCAAGCATTACGCGAGAATAGATTTTGCTTTCTTTTTAACCCTTTCGTTTCTGCTGTGGATGCTATGTGATTACGTATTTAAAAATATGAAATAAAATATTATAGCCGTCTGTATTTCCATATCTGTGAATATGTACTAATTTTTGTATATTTGACTTTAACAATTATTTTGATATGTGTTTATATAAATTTTGCAATAAAATTTTAAAATATTATCATCTTTTATGTTTTTTGCTGTCACAATTCGACGACAAAAGCTATTTTAAATGCAATTAATGTTTAGAGATAATAATTTCTTTGAAATATTTTAAATAGATTTATTAAGCAAAGATAAAAAAAAAGGATTTTCCTTATGTATAATAATTTTACAACGCAAATTATTCTATATGGTTGCAATAAAAATTAAATTTATTGCTAGATAATAACAAATGAAAAGAATCTTTCAGCGTTTTTAAAATGTCAAAATTTTTTTATTTGTCATGTAATGTGCACATAAATACGAACAAATGTTTCTTTTATGGCTATTGAATAATTTGGCAATAAAAGGGTTAAAGCGTCATACGAGAATAAATTTTGTTTCTCTTTTTATTATTTTTTTTTCTTTTTTAGAGCCAATGTTTTTTTAGTAATATTTTGATGTTCCAGATATAAGCGTTAATAAAATGATAATTGAGAAATTGAAAACAAAGATACTGGTGTTTCCAATCTTCAAAGTGCCACTTTAAATTTTGTATACATTATATTCTATGTGTAAATCATATTGCTCGAATCTCTAAAACCTACTTATCTTGAATTGTTTCTTCCTATTAGTAAAACGCATAAAGACAATTAATTTAGGAACCATAAACGCGCATTAAAGATCGAAAATTCCGATCGTGAAAGCCATTTAAGTATCGAAAATCATCACTCAATGTAAAATAAAATCTCATATTTGATATTTATTTACACAGCCAATTGGTGAGAATCTTGTGCGCTTTCCTGTCTAATTAATGCACTACGTGGCCGATAATTTACTTGAAAATCACCGTGGCGTTATATACATTGTTACTTGTTTGCTAAATTAAAAAAAAAAAAAATTTATTCTGACAATAAACCTTAGATTTTTTTGTAAAAAAATCTCGCACGCCGGATGGGTAACAGGCTTCCTTCCGGCAATGATGAAGCAAGCGTTTTGATGCAAAGCGTCTCGCAGTAACGAACCGAAAGCGTTCTTTGAAATACGACAACGGCAACGATGGACAGTGAACGACGTTAATCAAGGTTGGCATTAAATGCCACGGTCCTTACTCATCGAGAGGGGGATTCAGACTGTTAAAGCTCACTTTAACAAGCGTGCCCGCTCCGTGAGCTACCGTTAACTGTATCGCTTTTTTTCCCCGTCGGATTTCATCTTCCGAAGTCTCACAGCTGTATTTCATTGCGCGGATGTCGTTCAGCCGATTGGCTTTATTTTATTATGCAACAATAGTGTGTGCGCGCGCTTTCTTCTCTCTTCTCTTTTCACGAGGCGCACCTTTGCCGCGGGCGATGTGGCGCTCTTTGGTATTTAGATTTTTACATTCTCTTCGTTATTAAAACACGTTCTCTCACGTTTTTGTTGTACGAGAAAGATTATGGTCACGCGACGGTCTTCCACTTGTACGTCTCTCAATATGCGCGTCGATTGCCGATCTCGTCTTACAGAGTAATTTAATTAAGCCGCGGCGTAAATAAGCTGTCACGAGCAAACGCGCGTGTCGCGCAATATTTTGATGCAAATTGTCCCTTGATAAGCACTTTGTATGATAAAAAGGAAAAAAATTCAATCCTCAGTAAATGACTAAGCCAGGTAAATTGTAATACTTGGTTTTTATAGCCGCGAATCCGCGCTTGCTCGCGGGCTCGAACGGGAACGTAATCATTCCTCTGTGTAAATATTACAATATCGTGAAGAGCATAATTCAGATAATGCACCGTCGGCGCGCGTAGGAATTAATATGAAATACGATCCGCTATTTATATTACTATAAGTTAAGAATCAGCTGCATATTTTTCCCGCGGCGTAATCTCGACGCCAAGTGTAGATATCGAATTAGCTGGCTTCTTATTGCTACGCAAAAAAAAATTTTCCTCCACAATTGCATGAGTGAGAGCGTGCAATCCGCAAGCAGATAAATCTCACGTCGGAACAAACACACTTCTTCGAAGCTTCTTCGTGGAAAATTTGCGAATAAAAGCGAGTGTATTTTGCTGTCGTCGGGTATAATAATTTCTCATATTTAAGAAAATTGTAGCCGTAATTAAGTAATTTTCTAGAATTGCGCTTCATCGGAAGCTGGGATGATTAGGCCTTTCCTCTCTCTCTCTCTCTCTCTCTTTCCCTTTCGTCTTCTTAATATCATTTTATCACGATGCGCATGAACCTTGAGAGTATCGACGTATCCTGGAGGAGAGGTCAGGATCACTATTCGACCCTCGGTCTCGCGTGCTCGCCACGGGGAAGCCGGCTATCGTATAGGTGGTGACAGGTGCGAGAGCCGGCTATCGTCTTCGCTCGCTCGCGTGACAGCATCCAAGAGAGAGATTTAAAATTACGTCACTTTCCATTTTACGCCATTTCTACTGGTCTGCCTTGATCGGCTGTGAAAACGAGTAACAAGTCTTATCACGTCCACTCTTCCGTTGAATCGAATTAACTGTCGGTTGTATCCGATCGTGTGGATTGATACGCGAACGAGAATCTCTATCTCACTAAACGATCTGAGGCATCAGTCAGTTTTTATTTTGTTTAAACATTTTTTCGAAATATGATTTATTACACCGAAGGGGATTGCGATTGAAGAAATGTATTGAAATTAAAATATATATTGAAAGTAATAAAGAATGATATTGCACAATGTACTGCTTTAGTTATACAAATTAGAGAATAATTAATGCGCAATTATTCTGTAATTTATATAATTAAAACGCTGCATTAATAGCTGATTTCTCATGGAGTTGTTGATGCTATAACCGGTTAGCGAACGAGAACATCAATGTCGGCAGTGGATCAAGATTAAAATACGATCGCGCTTACGATTAATCTGTGATGCGTTGTTGAATCGAATAGTTGTTAATTTTTATTCGCGCCTGTGTTCGCCGATCTTTATGCAACTCATGTTATATTGAACGTGGCGCGGTTAGATCAATTGTCAAGCAGGATGACTCCATTGTAATCTAGGCCTGGAATCGCCAATGAAAATTGCCAATCCTATTCCGCTTTGACTTTACATCATCCGACTTACACTTTTCAATTTTCTTTTATTGGTCTTTTTTCGCATTTCCTAAAGTCATTCATTTTTTTTAGAAGCACAACGACGTGATCTCGATGCGATCTTTTAATATCGATGAAGTAGCGCACAGGTTGTTGCATGTCGCTCTTAGCACGGTATTCCCGTTTAAAAGTGGCTTTGCGGTTTTAGAAGAAAATGTTACGCGGTCGCGAATCGCAAGGAAAAAACGTTTCATCGCAGAGCAAGCGAGCGAAAAGGAAAAAAGCTCGCGTGTGCATTGCGTATCGCGGTGCCGCGGACTTGTTTTCCTATGCAAATTCCAGTCGTTCGCAACCGGTTCCTTTTACGATCTCCTGGAGGATTAAATTAAAACCTGGTCCGCGTGCTCTAATCGGCGATCTTTAGTCACACGGCGTCGAGTCGCAGAAAACGAGACGTGATTCTGCACGCGCGCGCGCAATCACAGGCAACGATGATATTTCATCCTGTCCAGTTGCTATATTATCGTTATTACGATTATTACCGATGCCAGACGAATGCTAACAGGTGATCACGGTTAAGAGATTGGGGCTGCTACGAGTACTCTCGCTAGAGAAACATACCACTTGATGTATCCCATATTTCATGCAGCATGCGCTAGCATAAGTTGCATTAAAATAAAATAATATTCGATATTGATAATCAACTCTTTCTTTATCAGAATTAAGTTTGAAAGACTGTTATTGTAGCTTTTTAATTTTGACCTAAATTAAAATGAAAAAGTAACCTATTGAATTTAATAAATTTGAGAAAATAATTCAGTTAAAAATGTAATATTTATACTTTTGGCTTTATGTAGAGTTAGTTTATAAATTATGTTGAATATGTCGGATCGGGCATAAATCAACGTACGGCTGTGGAAGTTAACGGCAATTACACGATATCTTATTTCGTACGAGTGAGATTAGACGACTTAATCTCGCACTTAATGGATGTATCTAGAACGCGGTCCACCTGTCCAGCGTAATTTACGGTAACACCATTAATTTACTGATAGCGTTATCGGCTATAAACGATATATCCGATCATAGCAAAATGTGGAATAAGGAAGGTAGTGAATTGGGTCACATGCTGTAATAGATTACGATTAAGTGGCCGCGTAAAGTTCTCCATCGCTATGTAGTTTATTGAAAAAGATAATAACTAATCTCGTTGACAAGTGCTTTGTTTGTGATATTTTCGCGGAATATGTGTGACGAAGATTCTTGTCTGCATGACAATGCGCAATCCAAATTGCTGGTAACACGGTTTCATAATTATTATTAATATTAATTTCATAATTATTGTATCAATTACATTTAAGTGACAGTTTGATTATCTTGATGATCTATGTATCTTTTTAATTCTTGCCGTTTAACACTTCACACTGTCATTCGTTGATATGACATGATGTATACGCTATTAATTAGCTGCAGTCGCACGAATCCAGTTTTTGCTAAACTGACTTTCTTATTAATCTCGCAGAATTATTACTTGTATATTGAGTCACCGGTATTAACCTGTCATTTTTTATAACGTTTATACGACATATTATTATAATAAATATAAATGACTTAAAGCGGCAAAAAATTGTTAAGATTATATTCTCTTCTCGTTGTACAAATTTGATCAAAATTTTTATATAACGTAATACTTTTAGCAAATAATATGTTCAATAAATAAATTTTGGAAAGCTTTAGCACATTGTTGTTTAATCTCGCTGCTGCGCGAGATATGAATTATCAATGCCGCGTCTCAGAAATGCATTTACGCGACGCTTAGCGCAGGATACTCGGTAAAATTATCTGAATATATCTCCGGTACTTCGAAGTACCTAACAAAGAGATGCACTGAAAGTAGCGCGCACGTGCGAGTTTCTGGCAATCTCGGAGCGCTCGGAGAAATCGAGGGAGGCACCGGAGGTGTAATTACTTCACCGTCCGAGTGAGTTTTTACAATCTGTCTCTGGTTCGCCCAGTTTTTTTTCTGACGGTAAAGCGGTTCCGTGGTCGCGCGGAGTCGCCATAAGTTCGCCGACTGATGACGGTCAACGACCAGAAAATACGCGCGATTGTGCGAGCATTTTGTAGAAGAAGACCGCAAAGAAGAGCGCCTTGCGCACGATCGATCGGAGTCAATGGGTTTTCGACGACCCGCAGACCTAGATTTTCTGCCAGGCCGGTGCGATATGCGCCGTCACTTCTACAATATCGTCCACAGTTATCAAACTAAATTTATTTTACAAGCGCTGCATTCTTCTAATAAAATAAAACGCTGGAAAAATAATTTTTTTTCAATTTATAAATGTAAAATTGCACGCGTTCGGCGCATATCGAGCGTAATTATTAATTAGCGTTAGAAATAAAATACAATACGCACGTTTTTTCTATTTATTCGCATATGCTTTTAGTCTTGTTTTTTTTTTGCTTGTTCTTAACTAAATCTTTTTTACGGCAGAACTTGACCTTAATTTTAACAATAGCTTTATCGAATGTGGTGTCTTGAAGAATGATAGGTAGTTAATCATGAGTGAGATGTAGCTAAAGGAAATTAGAAAAAAAATCCTCGACGCAATCGTCACTTGTAGTTGCGGCCGTGAAATCAGGAGGAAAAAATTGCAGATTGCTGACGCACGTAGCAAGTGATGAGCCATTTTAATCGGTATGAATTTACGCTCCTCATATTCGTCCTTTTTTATTTTCCGTAATCAGCACCGATGAGCACGCCGAAGGGATTATTTCGGCGTGCGAGCGCTCGCGTTCGATCGGATCAACTTGCTCGATAACCGGCTGCTACCGATTTCCGACCAGCTTCACGTTTCGGCGGATAATTCGCTCCGCGTTGTCGCGGTACTCTCTTTTGCCCCGTCCGGCGCGAAGAGACGGCGGAAAGAATCGAAACTTTACCGTTACGTTCACCCAACTTGCACCGTAATTACTGTTGCCACTCGCTGTTGCAGACGGTCGGCCGGCGCATCGTTGAAATCGTTCCGCGACGGCTGCGGTGCCGCGCTCTCATACCGGTCGTATTTATAGAGAGTCCGGTTAAGGCCGTGGCGCCTAGATCCAGCTGATAGAAACGCGTACGAGTTACTTATGATGCCGATCTCGCGGAGCGTGTCGCGAGAAAAGAACCGTGCGAGATTGCGCCGCTCCGGTTTCGAACTTTCTGCCGGTGAATTCACGACGGGCTGATAACGCAGAACGGGTTTCGCGTGATAATATAGAACGGATTCGTGCGCGCATTACGGTTCGCGAATTTGAAAATGATACTTGACCGTTTGTCTCACGTTTCTTCACGCGTTACAATCTTCATACGGGTCTTATTCTGATTTCATTCGAGAGAGACATTTATCCTCGAATATCTCTGTTAAAAAATTACGCCGTAAAAATGTGGAGATTAGCGAATTATCGGTTCTTGACTCGTGAAGGTGCTTTCGAAAAATTGGCAGTTTCGCGAATTTGCGAGTTAAACAAAAAAGAGAGATAATGGCGGTGGATTGTTTGATTATCATAAGTGCAGGTTTATATCGAGAAGCGCAGGAATAAATGGAGTATTAAAGCCACGCGAAGATGTGCAAACATGTCTCGTTAACACGCAGCGCTTCTTCCGCTAAAGATCCATGAGAAACCAATCACTAAGCTTGCAATTATTTCCCGGAAGTTGTTTTACGTCCAAATAGCACAGTGAGTCATAATTTTTGTTAAAGCCAAACCTGTTTTGATGTTTATTCACGGCTATCATCCGCCGAGTACAAGTGTGTTATACAAATGAACAAACAGGAATGCGTCATGTTACAACATTTTGAGACTATTATCGAATGTTATTATTATCCGCAGCGTTTATTCGTAGTGGTTTAAAGTGTTCGAAGAATCCGCGCTTCTTCCTCGCGCTGTGTATTGAACATGACAAGGCAGCATAAATCATTAATGGCAACACATTTATTAAATAACGATTAAACACGCGCCGCTCATTTTCCTCCCCTGAAAAAGAAAATTGTGTTTTAATCGATGTGAATACGTGAGCTGTCGACAATAAGACGATCTTGAACGTAATAACTTACCAGCTTCCAGAAGAAGATTGCGCCGAAGCGGATGATTGAGAGTACGATCCGCCTCCTCCATAACCGCCGCCGCTAAAGAAATAAAGAATCGTGATTAGTAAAATATTAAATCAATTTTTAATATAAGCAGTATAATAAATTAAACCATACAAATGTTAGCCAGCCGAGAGATGTTTGCAGATAAAAATTTACAATAATTCTAAAGATCTTAAGATCTGGACTCTAATGTCGTTGAACAATGACGTTGATATTCAAATTAAATTAGTTTCCTTCTCTTGGTTGATAATTGTATGCTTTTCAGCACAATCCACGTACGTTTAGTTCTTGCGTTTAATATTATATTACTTACCCGCAAGTATTACAACCGCCGCCGCCGCCGCTCGGATATCCACCGCCTCCATAAGGCTGTTTGCCTCCTCCATAACCACCTCTATGACCACCTCCTGCAATAGGTATGACTACAACTGGTACTACAACTGCTGTCCGATACCCTACAAAGCGTGCCCCTGTTAAGCTCCATCACAGCGAGATTGCAATAGCAATGCATTAATTCTTAATTAATATGCGTTGTATTAGATCTCCCATTTGTTAATATAATTAATTCGCAAATTCCACAGCTTAAACTCGATTGCGTCGAGAAGAGCCAAGCGAGCGAGAAATATTCTTTGTTATTCTTGACAAAAAAAAAGTGTCAAGAATCTCAAAAAATTTCGAGAAAAGTGCACAGCAAATAACTCGCAACAACCAATGCAATATTTTGACGCAATTCATGAGTGATTAGTATATCAAAATTGGCGAATTTATTTATCCGCGTTAGCTGTATTGCTTATTAGTACTATCGTCCTGCCCGATTAGAACCCCAAATTAAATCCCAACTCACCTCCACCACCATGACCACCATAATGACCACCATAATGACCACCACCTCTACGAGGATAATATCCTCCTCTCGGATACCCACCGTATCCGCCTCCGCCTCCGCCGCACTTCATGCAGACGGTCCTCTTCTTGCGATCTTTCGTCGCATCGCCCGGTTTCGCAGCCGCATCCACCATACTCTGCGCCTCAAACTTATGCAACTTCACCCTGAGCAATTTATCCTTGTTCAGGTCGATCTTGTCGACCTTGATTCCTTTGTTTTCCAATCCCTCCGCAAATTCGTCGAGGTCGGCGGCTGAGCGTTTCTTTTCCTCGTCTTCATCGTCTACCAGTAAGAGAACAGTAGCGAACGGCTCTGCAAGAGTGCACTTGTCAGTCGGTTGTTTTGTCTCTGAGAATTGCTTAGATTCTGTTCGCACTTACGCATCATTTCACGACGTACTTTTCACTTTTAATTAGTAAGAATTCTAATTAAATTTATTATTGAGAAGAGTCTTGGTGAGATATGAAATGCTTCATGTTCGTTGATCTACACTTACCCGCTATTTCAGGTACAGCTTCGATGACATCATTCTCAAAGATTTCCTCCGACGTATTGCCGCTGCTATTCTTCACAGCATACAAATTAATTATGTAAAGTGTAGCATGGTGTTCTTTCTCGTCTAATGGCGGCGGCTGCAGCTCGGTTGACAGTGTGTGTTCTTCGTGTGTATTTACAGTCAACTCTGATAACGACGTAAAAAATAAATTAATCACTACGTGAATAGAAATAAGAAGATTACGACGATCGACGCGTAGAGGGAGAGAGAGAGAGAGTATAAAGAATTTTAAATCAGTTGCGATTGGATTTATTCCACAGCTGATATATCCTGACATCACTGTTATTTCCGAAGACAAACATCTTGTATGTTGCATAAAAATAGATCATGAAACTCGCACTTTTTAACTTCTTTAAAGCAATATTTATAAGACGAATAAAGAGAGAATTATTTAAGCAATAGAAATCTTGCAAATATTTTTTCTTTAAATTAGTATAGTCTTTGAAACGTTAATATTATTTAACATTTATGTTATTAATGATATTTATCACATTAATGACATTTATGACACAAATGACATTAACGACATTTAAAATTTATATCATTAATTTCTGCGATCACTTGCATTTATTTTTCAAGTTCTTATAACATTGCAAATTATTTGTTAATTAAGATTTAAAAAGTTTTGCTTAAAATGAATTATTCTTAAACTAGAATTAAATTAGTAGAAAGTGAAAAAATTTAAATAGATCTCCAAAAAGTCGAAGCACATAATTACAAAAATAAAAACACCACATTTACAAAAAAAATTGACAACATTATCTCTCTATTTTTTGTCATCTTTGTTTAATGAATAATACAATTTCTCACCTGGAGAAGACGGTGGTGGAGGCGGTGGCAACCCTGAAAGTGACGCGACGAGTGAAAACAAGAGCACTAAGCCAAGAGCACGAACAGCCATCGTGAGGGTGTTCGGTGTTCTGTAGATGCACTGCATGTCGATCCTTTAATCTCGCCGCTTTTATAGTCATCTGTCCGACGCGCGTTTGATCCTGATGTAATTATGTAACGCGGAACCACCTCCATTGCTTGTCCGCTGCGCGCTGCACACCGCGCCGACGCTAATTTTTGGATTTTCCGAGGGAATCCCCCGCTAATGCATGCGCGTCTGAAACAGTTTTCTTCGAGATAAAGATATAATTATATGCAAGCAAGAACGAATATACAAGGCAAATATCGAATAAATTTGTTAGCAAGGATACAGTATGTAAAATGCGGAAATGCTCATTTTCGTTATCGCATCGATGATTATGCCATATCAACAAGAAAATGCATTGAGATCGTATTTTTTTAAATATATTGCGTTTAAAATAAATTTATAAATTTACTTTATATTTGCGATACGTTTACAAAATTATACTTATCTTTAACGTACATAGTAATAAGAACATGAATAATAAATAACAAGATTATGATTATAAAAGTCAATACAGAAATTAATACTGCCAATTAAGGCTTTTTATTAAGGCGATGTTGAATAATGAGAAAACGATAAAAACAGTATGAAAGCACGAGACATCTGATCTATTATAGAAGTACTAAAATCTGTTAATAAACGACTACCGAGAGAAGCCGCATCACTCGGTAATGTACCTCCTCTGAACAGTGTTATTACGCATAATAAGTATATATAAGCAGACATGTTCTTTTATTCATCAGCTCTTATGATTAACTGCTAACAATCTTTAACTATTCATTTTTTTGTACTATTATCACATTATTTTCTTCGCATAAGGGCAGACGCGTAAGATTATTCTAGATGATTATAAATTATATCTAAAATATAAAAATGTTTATCGGTAACGAATATGAAAACTGTCTCGCAACATCATGTCGTGTCTAGATACTTTAGCTAACAGTGGAATAATTCCCCGACATCCAGCTATTAGAGCAATTAAGCAGTTTCCATACATTAAACATGAACTAATGCACTTCAGGATTTTCCAACTCGAGCATATACATCCTCTGATAATAAGCGGTATGACTGTCACGTTTTAATCACACCTTATCGACTCATGTCTCTTGCAGAATACACTGTAAAATAAACAAAAATCCCGTAGTTTATCTTTATTTTATTTATTTTCTAAAATTAACTAAAATTTTCTTAACACTATAATTTCGAGTATCTTTTAATGAGAAAATAATGGATGCATTAGCAAAAACAAGCGCCACTCTTATTAATTTATATGACATGTAATGTTTAAATGACATGTATATTTAGTAGTTTAATTTCACGCCGATTAGTCGCGTCAAAATTGTTAATTCCTTCGATGATTATTAGCTTTGAGATCACGATCGAGTTGTATATGCAAATCCAGTTAATATTTCCTGTTTGTTTCTCAGATTTAAGATTAAACTTGTGTGCGTTGCGTTCGCCAATCATTATTCGTTATTGCGTGTCAATTTTGCTTTTGTAAATTTAAATGTAAATTTTTACATATTCCGTCATCAATCATGAGCATATCGTTTAAAAACATCGATTTCCGAGTTTCCGAGTATTTGAAAGGAATTTATGACGCAATAGCATGTAGCTAAATTATCTTTTTTTTTTAAATTATATGTTTTTAAAATATAACTCATATAATGTTACAGCAAAAAAATTATGCTAATATATGTTTTTTTTGTGGCGACGAGTACTAGTAACTGTAATTAGACCTCGTATAGTTTGCAATTGTAATTTGTAGAATTCTGTTTTGCATAAAGTAGAAACCGGTTGAACAGTTATAACAAATGATAACAAATTGCAACACATAATAATATGACAAACGTTTTTGACTACAAAATCGATATTTTACACATTTAACGGAGCCAATGAGCTGTTTGATTAATAATATTATTAATCGAGATGATTACGGCATCATTAAATTATGTTTGTATCAAAATTTTTTTTCTTTACAAACCGATAACAAATTCGAAACAAACAACTAAATAAATAATAAATTAATGCTGATAATAAATTGCCATTCTGCGCTGTATTCTTATCGTTGTATTCGTCACAAACATGTCACAATATATCAATTTAATTTCTTTTTTCGACAATTCCTCACTTACGTCATTAATAATATCATTCGCGTACATACAAGCGGAAATAATCGGATTTACTGAGAAAATGTAGCTTGCAGATTTGATAATTACTTACGGCTATTGTTACGGAGAACAATCTGATGATCGGTTTCTCTTTCGAATTGTGCGTAACTAAAACCACACGAGTCACCGACAACGCAACTCATCTTCCTGTTGACCATAAAAGAATGCGGAGTTCGTTTAGCCTTGGCTGATCAGTTCCAGACACAATAATCGCTTCGATGATGAGAATCATAATAAAAATCCCTTTGTAGGTAGAAACAGAGAGTTTTGACGATACGTCAATTAATCACAGAACATATAAATTTCATAATAACTTAATAAAATGCGATATTGCTTCAAAATATTCCAAGTGCATACATTGACATTAATTAAAATATATATTGTTCACTATTGCTGGGATTAGGAACTTTAATAGCAATTGTCTATTCATTATTGAGTTATCTGCAATAGTTGTTAAACATCTAGCAGATATATCTACATAATTGTTGCGCATAATGCACGCGAATCTTTCGCGGAAACAAATTTACTCCGAAAGAATTAGGGAATAACGCTTTACGTATGCGCTCATTTATTTTCATGATTATTTTCACGATTCACGTATATATATAGCATTATCGAAGATTGTCGGCCTTTGGATTTAATGAGTGCACAAAAAAATCATGAAAGTTAAATTAGATGGAAACATGTAATTATTGTATGTATGCATAACTATGCAAACAATTTTTAAATGTAGTATGTCTAACACATATATTTAATAATATATTTAAAAATGACAGAAGTATTTTTTTCTATTTTGTTTTATCAAGTGGAAATAATGATGTTCGAGAACTAAATATAGAAAAAATTCTTTGCTTATCGCAAACAATAATGTTTTAAGAGCTAAATGCGGAAAAAAATTGAACAATGCATATGTGGATACGATCTCTCGCTCGCGTGATACATGCACAATTATCTTGTAGCTTAGAAAATTAATTATGCGCTAAAATGTTGCGGGGATTTTTGCTCGGCTGTAAGCAACTTAGTCATTCGTTGCGGTCACTCATCGATAACTTTGTACAAATTAATTGAAAACGAAAAAAAAGTACGCGGTGCTGATTATTGGTCGTTACATGATCTTTCAGCCTTATTATATCTGTCATTATACCGTAGCATCATTAGCTAGCACATATTATCGAATAAAAATCTATTCATACGATTATCCCAACCTTGTGCCCCTTCGACAAACGTCATTCATTTATCGTTAATTGTTGCATATGAATAACCGAATCCCACAGATAACTCCCGACCGGTTCAAATTGATAATTATTTTTGATGCGGGTTTTTGTGAGCCAAACTGAGACGAACGATGAGTCAGTGCTGAGACCTTGAATCGCATGGATGAACAGGTATTCCTCTTTGGCTTCGGAGATCCCGTAAATTTGATTATACTTTCACCGATGATATCTAATCCACCCGTCCCGCCACATTCCTAGATAACTAGTTTTACGAATCTTAGTTCATAATATATAGTTTTGAATGAAAAAAATGAGATCATTTTACATATAAAAATTTAACGCAATATGTAGAATTCATTTAATTGATTTCTATTGAACAAATATCGCAAACTTTTTTATATCGCAAAGACACTTATAAGCGCAATATGATTCTAAGAAGTCGAATGCATGGAAAAACATGTGCCTATTTGAATAATTAATTGTTCTCACCGACGTCTTAATGACACATGCATGAGGAAACAATATTCCATTACGCGTTCGTAAGTTTAACAAGTCAAAGCAGTCACTAATCTGAAAATTATTCTAATTGATATATTTTATTTAAAAATAAATAAAATGTATTTATCATTTCTTAAAAGTAATATATTAAGCAATTAAATAAAATTTTACATAAGTCTTTATAAACTATAAAAAGAAATTTTTGCAATGCTTTATACAGCTACGTTATTGTTATATAACATATTTTTTGGAAAAACTATATTTGTTTTTTCTATTAAAATGATTAATTAATATTAAATCTTTATAATTAGTTATTAGTAAATATATATATATGTTTATTATGATATTATATTAGCTAATATATTGGCGTATGTGCATTATTATTATTTAAACTTGCATACCATCCAATGATATTGTTAAACAATTAATATTTTATCGTTGATAAAATAGATTCACGTGAATTATGTTGTCGGTAGTTTCAAAGATGTCGCGATGAGCACAAGATCGAATCTTGATCTTGATCCTGCAAAAATAATTTAACTGCAAAGTCATTTGAACCATTTGAACCATCTGAGCTCACACACATATTTGTACACATTGTACAAACATATTGCATATTACAAGAAAAACAGTTTAAAAATGCAAACAAAGAAACAAATAATTTTACAAGAGAGAAACCCGATTGACAAGACGGTCACGATCTCAGTGTCATCTTTTTTTATTAATAAATTAAAAAAATCTTGAGAAACTATTGCAATGCCTTCGCCTACTTTATGCGGAAATGAAGTCAAGTGATGTAATATATACAAAAATAAAAATTTATGACAATTGCCATATTAATTCATACTCGTAAGAGTAAACCTGACATCAAAAATTATTTATTTAATTAATAAAAATTAGAATCTTTATATAAAATATTTATTAGTTCTACCATATCTGTGATAAATATTTTATAACAATAAAAATATGTTATATAAATATGTAAAATATGTAAAATATGTAAAATATATAAAAAAATATGTTATATAAATATTATAGCTTTTATCTTTTAAATAAAATAAAACGAAAGTTTTAGTCTTTCAATCTCCATTTTTTATATCCGGTGATAATATTTTTCAATATAAATCACATAGATATAATTTTTCAAGAAAAGGATCTAAAAAGTTGT